GCTTTCTCTTCTCACCTGTTCTCTGGTGTCTGATGGCTCTCCAGGCTGAGACTGCTGCTGGGAGACTCTGTCTTTTCTGGTTCAGAGAATTCATTTAAAAGAAAAGCTTTAAACAAAGTTCCAAATTCACTTCTGAAATTAGTTCATTATAAATTGAACAATCGAACAATTATTTGAGAGCAGCTTACAGAATCCACAGGTAGACAGAGGTGAATGTCAGAGCCAGGACAAGAGCGCAGACTGTGGCTCCAGCTATTGGTTTCCATGCTCCTAGAAAAGAATGAGCTAAACAAACAGCACTTAATTACAGTGTGACAGGAAGCAGGGATGTCCGACATTGGCTTTTTTTTGCAATTCGGCTCGGCCCAGCCAACCCTGTGAGAAGTGGTGAACGAACCGGAACCAGTGGAAAAGTTCAAAGCATGTCTCGGTTTCAGTCCAAAATCTTGTGGCTGCTCCTGACAGGCTCCTGTTAGAATGTTCTCAACAGCATGTGGGCACGTAAAGAAAGAGCTCCTTCTTCTAAAGATGTCTTTAGCGACTAAGAAGTAAAATTTAGTGGCAAGGACCAAGGAAGTGCTGATCATACCTTTGTTGGAAAGAAAGAGACATTGCACTATTTTTTTACCATTTTTCTGTAACTTGAAGAAGTTGTTTTTAGGCAGAACTTAATCATGATCACACAGTTTGTAGATGATGATGCCAGTGAATATTTTCTTCAGACAAATTATCTAATTTATCATCAAGAGACAAGAACTTCTCAAACTAGAGGAGTTTTACAAAAACCAATGCAGTGGTCTTGTACAGGAGCAGTGGATATGAGATTAACTTACCCTTCACAACAATCAGATAAACGGTGGACTTATGGCGTCCCCTTCTGTTCTGAGCTTCACAGGAATAATTCCCACTGTGTTCAGCTCTGAAGTCCGTGATGGTGAAGTTCTGTCCTGATGCTGTTGGTGAGTCTTCATTCTCCTTGTACCAGGTGTAGTTAGCTGCTGGGTTAGCATCACTGCTGCAGCTCAGAGTCACTGAACTTCCCTCCACTATCTCAGCAGAGGGACTCACTGACACAGAGGGAAGCTTTGGAGCATCTGAGGGACAGAAACCATATTTTAACTTGGAAATGAACATTCTAGTTAGAAATGGATCTGAAACATGAAGCAGACAGAAGAGTCTGGTGTTTTATAGATCTATAATAAAACATGAATAGATGACTGAGTACATCGCAGTAACAGCATGAGCTGCTCAAAGACCCACAACAACTGACTGAGAGTAAGAAACAGACAGAGCTGAAGAAAGCTGGTGTGGGTGTGACCAGCAAAGTCTAACTAAAAAATGCTGACAGTCATCAGTTGAATGCTGCTTTTTAAGACTTTTACTCACATTTCACATCAATAGTGACGTATTCAGACGTCCTCCAGCCCAGCTTGTTCTCTGCTCTACAGTTATACGCTCCAGAGTCAGAGGCCTGGATGGACAAGAAGACAAGATTTGTCGTTTCCCTCAGGGGTGGTGGTCCGTTCCTCTTGAACCAGGAGTGTTTAGCTGCTGGGTTAGCATCACTGCGACAGATCAGAAAGACTAAACTGCCCTCCTTGATTTCACCAACGGGGCTCACTGACACAGAGGGACGCTTTGGAGCATCTGGAGAAGAAATTAGAAGAATAAATCAAAAGTACTCAAGAGGGACGCTTTGAGAAATCCATCAAAATGAATCTGTTTGACTCACATTTCACATCAATTAAGATGTATTTAGATGTCCTCCTGCCCAGCTTGTTCTCTGCTGTGCAGTAGTACTCTCCAGAATTGGACGACTGGATGAACCTGAGGACAAACTGAGTCTTTTCACTGAGAGCTGTGTGGACATTTCTCTTGAACCAGGTGTATTTAGCTGCTGGATTGGCATCACTGTGACACGTCAGAGTCACTGAATTGCTCGCTTTGACTTCACCACTGGGGCTGACCGACACAGTAAGATCCTTTGGAGCATCTGCAGGAGACATGAGTAAATTAAGCCCAGTTGTTCAGTGAAGTGATGGAAACATGACGGGACAATAAAACGAGCTGCTGCCCATTTCGGGATGCATGCCATGCCTTTACTGCCGTTGTGACGAATCCCTCAGTACAAACTGAGCAAAAGAACATCTGTTATGTACCATCAGCGCATGTTCTATGAGTACAGCTAAAGTCCTTAAAAGTCAGTTAAGTGAAAAACCTTAAAACAAACCAGAACTGGACTCAGAACACAGAGAGACTCCCGTGTTGAATAATGGGCAATGTTTTCATGAAATGATGTGCACACTTTTTAAATTACTTTTTAAATGACATAGTGACTGTCTCTGTGGACTGGGCATTTTAAAAACCCCTAGACCTGATGTTTAATAGTCAAAAGAGACATGAAATGTCACTTTTTCTGCAATCGGTCCTTCAGTGTATTAGTGAGCTTGGTTTTCCCCATGAGGCCTACGTCTTGTTGAATAGTGTTTGGTAAAAAATAAACACGCATGTTGTTAAAGCGGAACATCAGACATTCAGTTGTAAAACAAAATGAGGTTTCTCCGTCTCTGTACCACACCATCCAGTGATTATGACTCTCTGAGCATCTCACTGACAAAACAGCAGGTCGACCTGCAAGGTGACTTTTGGGGAAACACATTAACAGAACAAACGGAAACCCCAGAAAACTCTACAGTTGCAATTTTCTAGTGTTATTAGGCTTAATGGTGGAAGTAAAAATGTATTTAAGTCATTGTTTGAATGTTTAGGAGCAAGAATTGTAAAAAAAAAAAAAAAAGAATATATATGCATTGTTGAAGGTGAACATTATGATGTTGAGCATCTCCTGATGACATTAAAGACTGAGCCCCGGACAGCTCCGGCCCAATCAAACCCCTGGAAACACAACATGCATCATTTGTCAAGTGATTTCTGACATTTCCAGGAGTTTGTCATAAGAGTCATTATTTGTTTCTAAGCTCTCTCCACTTTGTTCATATCTCACCAAAGATTTCCAATAGTATTCAAATGCAGGAAGGGACATTTCAGGAATGATTCCAGAACCAAGCTCTAGTTGGCTCAGACATATGCTGGGTGTCATTGTCTCCCTGGAAAGTCTGATTACTGAGTCAGTGAGCTGCCCGCTCACCGGATAAACTGATTCACACAGATGGCAGTTTTGGAGCATCTCAAGGAGAGCATACCAAAATCTGTTGTCACCCTCAGTTCTACTGTAAAATTAGAATCAAAGTTAACGAGATCCTTAAGTGGTTAAAGTTCATACAAAAGTAGCTCAGATGATTAAGTTGTTAGAGGAGGGCAATTCCCTCTTCATGCCTTGTAAGTGACATTCTGAGAGACAAACTCACACACTGCCGGAGAGCGATAATCCTCAAGTCCTTGAACAGCACAGGAATAGCTGTCGTCATCACGAACAGAGACTCTACAAGAAGACGTTTCTTCCTCCATTTTCTGTGCATTGTTGTACCAAACATATGAGCGAGGACCAGCTACATCACAGCTGCTGAGACACTTCAACTCTGTCCTGGTCGACGTTCTTCCCACCTGCACCTGGAGCTCTGGACACGTGGGGAAACAGCATCATCTCAAACTGAATCGTCAAAATTCGTGAATGCTACCAAACACACAAAGATTCCCAATAGTGTTGAAGAAGTTAAATGATTGGAACCAAAGTGATAAATACATGAAAATGTTACCGGCAACGGACAGAGTGACTCCAGGTGATCCGGTGAAACTTCCACCTGGTGGGTTTGTCGTGAATCTGAACTTGTACTCTGCTGAGTCGCTCTCTCTCAGGTCTGTGATTCTCAGCGTGCAGCTGTTCTCATAAAAATCATACTTCACGCGACCTGTGTAGGCTGAGTCTTTTTTCAGAGCCACCTGTCCTGCATTTTTCTTTTTTCTAAACCACGTTCTTTCTTTTACTGTTGTAATTCTCTTTTTTATTTTGGGTGGGTAACTGTAGCTGCAGTGTATGTCCACTGTTGATCCTTTCAGGGCACACATCTGAGCAGAAGTGTAAGTCACGCCCCAGCCATCCTGACTGTGTACCACTGGAACACAGAAAACATCAGAAACTACAGTCAGAGTCACAACCTTTGGATCCATTTCCTAAAACTGCTTGACTCCAATACTGCAAAAGTAATGATCTCTTCCTTTTGATGCACTGTGAAACTCATATTATTAATGACCTATATGATGATAATTCTGCATCAAGACAGGGCGAACTAAGGACAAAGTGTTTACTCAGTTATCAGGAATGCATACAAGCTGTGAATCCTGAATCAGCTTTAATGTCCAACATGAGTGAAACAAATGACTATTATTATAAGTAGTTAAGTATTAGCATTTAGACTGTTTCTGTTTTGTTTCCTTATATGAGCATAAACTCACATTTGGCTGGCACCATATGTTCTGTGCAGACCATTAAAGACAGATTATTGTTAAGCCATCTGAGAACTGAAACATCACGATGGTGCGGGCAAACCAGTTCCCTTTTCTGCGTCTAGATGTTATCCTGCTGTCTGACAAAATGATAGACAGTGCAAACGTTTACAGACAAACTGCTTTGCTGAAATGTTCAGATGAGCCACTGACAGCTCCAGTTGTACGGTTATTTAAAGCAGCACTGCACATCTGA